CAAAGGTGTCCCCCTTCAATCAGAAATCGACGAGTCAGAGCTTTTTTTAAAAATCCCACTTTTTATATTCAAAAACGGCTCTGTTAAGTTTTAGTTGTTACACACTGTATAAGAACCAAATTTTCTTCAAGTATATAGAGAAGTTGTCACTAAATATATTGAAAGTTGGCATCAACTAGTATGCAAGTGCGCATGTTGAGTCTTGACATTGACAATCTTGAAATTGTTACTCTCAATTATTTTCTATATAAAAACGATCCTTTGATCAAATGAAGACGTTTCTAGCATTCAAAGGGATTATTTTTGTTGATTTTGTTATGTCGTAGGATTATTTATATTACTCATTGCACAATAGTTGAACCTACAATATTATCTCTTGTAGGAAATCTGAAATATATTTCGTTTCAGGTCCTGATGTATATGAATGGGCTGAAGAAATGGAAAGATAGATATGCACTGTTATGCATTCATGTACTCAAAGGAGAGTACGATATGCTATTGAGGTGGCCGTGTCATATCGAAGGAACTATCACAATAAGAGATTTGAAAGACTTAGACAAGGTAGAACATCTTAGGATATTTTAAAAATATTTATAGAAATATCTTTCGCTTCTAGGAATAAATAGTGAGAAATCCGGCTCTGAGAAGAATATAGAGTAATTGTTGTAGATTCCAAAAATAATATTATATACAAGGTGTTCCATTTGAAAATTCAACGCTGCTACTACCACCGTGAATCGGTGCCATCCAGATGAGCAAACAAACATTTGCTGGATAGATTGCCAAACCTTGACTTCACCATTATTATTCATACTTGAAACTGTTTGGAACCTTTGGTGTAGTAATGAATATTACTGGAGTTTTTTCCCAACACCAAACAGTTACTTATGATGCACTGTTTGGAACCTTTGGTGTAGTAAGAGGAAGATTAATCTTCCTCTTTGAAGATGGTCACTTGGTGATCGAAACACGTGTCGAGGTGTTAAAAATGACGATTTGGTGTTGGGAAAAAACTCCAGTAATATTCACCAAACAGTTATTTTTAACACCTCGACACGTGTTTCGTTCACCAAGATCAAACTTCCTCTCGAAGATGATCAGTAATATTCATTATTATTTATCGTTACGTTGTTTTAATACTTTATTTATATTTCTGTATTTTGCAGCCCAAACCATTCTCGAAATACATCAACGCAAAAAGACATGCAGGTGATGAAGAGAGTGAGGAACCTCAAGAGTCGTCTTCATCATATATCTTCATTCCACATTCAACTCTACTGAAGTCGGGTCACTTGCAAGAAGATACTCTCTTTATTGATGTCAAGATACAGCAGAATGGAAAACAAGAAACCAGTTTGTGAAATGGTTGAATACTTTTTTGTACCTGATATTCATCGATATACTTCCATTACGCTATTTATTTATGTATATATTGTTAGAAAATTGATAAAGTGAAATTATAAACGTAAAGATCCATATAAACAATTCTAAGCATCATTTCACAGATGACCCATCACCTTTTCAGATGCTGATGAAACACCTGAAAAACACCACCATGTTGACGTATTACTGATGTATTAACTATCCGATTAAACCCTTTATCAAAAAAAATTTACTAAAATGCGGTTGAACCGAACCATACGTTATATTTATAGTCGTGGTAGTGTTGAAGCTAAATTTATTTAATAGTTTCAAATTCTCAATAATATTTTTTACCGAAAACCATTCTTCAATTAGTTTATTAACAGGCAGAACACAAATTATTTAAAATTATCAAAGAATTCTAAGATGTAAATTGATGAATGTAGCCGTTACTACGTGGTAGAAAATCATTATGAAAAATGAGAATTGAAACTTTACATGCTTTATTCTAAGAGGGTTTATGTATTTCATGAATGATTTTATTTTATATTAAAACGAACAATATTTTGCTAAGAATGGGATAATTGGGGAAAGGTTGGTATTTATTTCTCCTTCATTTTATATTGCGATTTCCAAAGTCTCGTATGATATTTATAATTAATGATTTTCATATTGGCAAGGTCTATGCAATAAACTATTCATTGACCATACAAATGCGACACATTAGATGTTTCTGGAGAACCAGACAACGGATCACTTTCAAAATTTAACGAATGGCATATTCGAACATTCTCTACCCAACTAAAATATTTTGCGATGTTGCCACTTCCATTAGAAAGTAGTGGCAACTTTGATTTTTCAAATGAAACACCCTATATATAATATTATTTTTGGAATTTACAACAATTACCCGACAACTTTTTTCGATATTTATCTATACCTATCTGGAAACATGGAAAAATCAAATGGATAAAAATGGAGAGAAAGATACAGTACAGCAAAAGAGACGTTGCCAACATCTATCTTAAAGTGGTTCATACACAACTGTTGTGTAAACTGCACTACATTGAATTTCAAGTCCTAGACTCGGATATTCGTGATAAAGTCAATGGTATCATACATAAGAAGTTTTTAATCCAGAGAAGGAAATTAGATGTTTTAATTCGGAGCAAGTCACCGAAGAAAAAGAAAAAGGGCCAAAGACAGTGAACTATTTTCACATCATAGGTTCTTTGACAGATTTGTCAATGTCACGAACACTAGTTTCACAGAACAGGAAACTCATCTATTAAAAAAAGGTCTCAATTACAATATTAAACCTAACATAAATTCGACAAATTTAGAAGTTTTGGGAATTGATACAGATATTGCGTTGATGGAGACTTGCTACGCCAATAAACATATTGCTGCAGAAATTTTAAAACCTGTAAAGATGCATAAAGGTAGGTTCAATTCGGAAAAAGAAACTAGTGAAATTTATAAAAGTGAAATCAGCAGAAGATAACATAGTTTTTATGCGACCTGATAAAGGAAAAACGGTCATAGCTATGAACAAAGAAGAATACTTGGAGAAGACTTTAGACTTTCTAAATGCTGGCATGTACGATAGTCAGAAACGACCCTACCCATTTATATCAGAAAGAAGTCAAGGAAACTTTTAAAAATATTCATTGTGTCACGGATGAAAAGGAAAAATTCCGATCGTTAGTCACGAACCCACAACCACCGAAATTGTATTCATTGGTTAAATTACACCAAGATAACTACCCGATAAGACCTGCAGTTTCTTTCGTCACAGCTCCTTCAGTTAAAATATCCGAAAAACTCATTGCAATTATTCAAAACCACACCAATTTCGAATCAAAATTAAGTTTTAGGCCAACCCACTACAAATATTTCAGATTTTCTGCACAGCAAAGGTGTAAATACTGCTTTCAAAACCAACAACAACTTGAGCATGCACATTAAAAATAACAAAAATAAAAGTTCAGTTTCAGAAAAATCAGGAGTGTATAAATTATCGTGTGGGTCATGTCCGATGCTTTATATAGGTCAAACTGAAAGAACGTTCAAAACCCGCATAAAGGTTTGAAACTTAACCTGTTGGAGAGTATGGAAATAAACAAATTCAAAAACGATCTTATGAACGATCAAACTGACTTGAATAATCGCCATTATTGCCTCATCTGCCTGTGTAGTGTTTATATATCGTAATCGAAGTCTCTGGAAGCCGATAGGAAAGTCTATAGAAGTCTCTCGAAGCGATGCGACCTTTAGAACGATCAAGAAGCGCAAGTCGAGTTGGGCGCGACCACGGCCAAGTCACAGTCAATAGACGAAGACCAGTGGCGGCAGGCGTAATTTTGTTTCAGGGGATAATTTACAATAATATGGCTGTAGTACTAGTCCTTCAATTCACCATTTTCTACCGATTCCCCAAGTTCTCCATTCTGTACAATTTATTCCACCACTGCTACAAATATTAAGGACTACATTCTTCATTGATAAATGAAAGGCTATATTTAATTCACATTCTTTCAATCACTTAGTTCTATGATAGTTACCTAGAAATTGATGCAGCCGCCTTTATGGATATTGATTGAGAATATTTTGTGAAAGTGAAATATCTGTTTGTTTTCCAATAGTTCAATACAATTTTGATAACGGAAGATACTTTACGAGTAGTAACCTGTACAAGCAAAATACTAAGTGGTGTAGGCTTCAATCACATCAATTTGCATATGAATGCCAGTTCTGATCTAAGAAGCATTTTGTTTCTGCCTTCTCAGGTATACCCAATTTGATGTTGATTTGGTTCAAGAAAAATAGTTTAGAGGAAATAAACACGAATTCGAACAAAACTCTTTAATTGACCAATTCAAAATGAATGTTTTTAACAATATCTTGAATCATAAATATCGACGTTATTTTTTTAAATGTTGGCGTTGGCAACGCCGAATGCCGACTGTTGTTCTTGGGTTGGTAACGAAATAAAGTTGATTGACAATAAAGTTTTACTGATAGTCATGAATATCTAATCGGACAACCTGTGCAACAAACTAACAGTCTGTAATGTACTGTTTTGGCAGGGAAAAAGTATTTTCAATACAGTTTCAGTATAGAGTTTTTACAGATATTGAAGTCGAAGAAATATGAATTATGAAATGTTTCTTATTACTTTAGTTATCCTTATTAGAGTAAACGAAGTAAGGATTCGAAATGGTTCCAAAATTGAGTTTTCGGTTAACATGGTTGTGCATCCCTAAGAAATATAACTTTAAGTGTAAACTTTTGCGAGCTGGATATTAACCAGATCTTACCTTGTACCCAAACCAAGTGATAGTTTTATCTAATTCGGAGTTAACTTTTTATAATGAATTTATGACATTTTAAACTTTAAAACATAAAATATTCCGAAATAAAAATACTTTTTGTTTGTCACAAAAAATGTTTGCTTCTGTTCCTCTATCCTTTCTCTGTTCCTTTCTATTCTGTTCTCTGATAACGAAAGTACAAATACTTTGTTGGATTCGTATTGGCATACCTACTTGTGAGGAATATTACTGTTCACGAATTGTACCTACTGGTCTATAGTTCAAACATATTTTTGTTTACTGAATGGATTTGAAATAAGAGATAATTTGTGAATATTTCAGAATGAGTATAAACACGTCTGAGGAAGCTATTGTATGGCGAAACCCATATAGCGGTTTTGTAAACTGTTGAATGAAGTGTTACTTGGATGTCAGAATGAGATAAACTGGTTTTTTGAAGCAGAATTGATTATTTTCATCAGATAATATTTTCCTAATCACAACTTTGTTTACAACTCACAGGGTATAAAATTTAGTAACTCTAAAAGTACTTGAAATTGAATAGAAATCTGTGCTTTCTTTATTAAGTATTACGAATCATTTTGGGACATTTACTTCATTTGTTTTCGATGGTACCATTTTGATGATGACCTGAAAAAAAAACAGCACAAACATTATGAGTATGTAAATTCAAACATCACCAAGTAAATCACCATGTAAAAAAATGGTAGATACTTTAATTCCAAGTGTATGAAAAAAAATTCAAAAAGTGTTTTGGTCTCTACAATGCATTGAATTTTTGTATTGGTGGTTTTCAAATAAATCTAGGATGAACCAAAAATTTTAGTTATACTCAAAGTTATGTTCAAAGTTATTTGGTAGTTTCAAAATGACAATAGTTATGAAGTTTACCACACACTCGCAAATCCAAGACTTGAAACTCTCTTAGAAAGGAAAATATCAACATTGAAAATACCAGACACTAAATAAGTTGGTGTTTTTGCTGAGTACTTTGAATTAATGTATGAAGCACTGAAGAATTTTCCCAGTTCATGATATTCATCTATTGGTAGAAGTTACTTATCATTTTTAAAGAGTTGTTTTCATTTATTTGAAAACGGACTCGTAATTTATTATCTCACTATTCATGAAGGTAGGAAACACTCTTATCTGTAATAGTCTAGGAAATTACCTTTTGGTTTCTCTCGTCCGAAAACGTACTTTTCAATCGTAATGATAGGAGATTCGAAAGCTAAAGTCCAGAATGTTGCCCAAAGTAATGTTTCTATGAAGTAACCGCACCACAGGTAAAACTGAAAACAGAAGCTTTGATAGTGAATGAAATATAAATTATTCATAATGAATATTTCGACAAACAAACCTATGAATTTATCATGAAATATAAGAAATTTGTTATAATAACAATTATAATACATTTCTCGGCCAAATAGCGAGACTCCATAAATAACTGTTTCCACTTTGAAAAACATCCAAAAACTTTATGAAACTTCCTGATTGATTGAAAACGTTATGATTCAAGAAGCCGCATTTATATAAATAGCATATGAATGATAATTGGAAAACAGAATAACTATTTGCTCAGATATTTGTGACGAAACGACTGGTAAGAAACAACAGACTACGAAAAAAACGTTGAAAGTTCAATTAACGAGCTGATACTCAGCAATATTTCTGTCATATCTACAGTCACAATCAGTCTTTTCTGAACAATCACCTGAAATATTCTTCAATGTTTCGTCTGTACAGTGAGAGGATAAAATCGTGTATAAGATGTATATAAGATAACGTTGATGATGTCTCCATCAGTGTATCCGAAGCTTATCCCTTTCTTGTCCCATCCACATATTTCATTAAGAACATTCGAGCAATCCCACATTTGCAGAAATTATAAATTTTATCGATCGTTGAAGGTTAGGACTTTAATTGTTCAAAGTTGGAATAATAGTTGGACTATTTTCAAACAGTAATCCAATGGATAACATATGCATCTAATGTTGCTCTTCCACCATTTTCCTCATCACATCTAAAGATCAATGTACAGAGAACATGGCAGATTTAGGGGTGAGGGTTAATAGGAGTAATTACACCTCCCCGACTTTCATATTCAATATAATTCAAATGAGAATTGTGATATATGTAATATCCAATCTCATCCAAATCCGCCCTTGGCAAAGACATAATGATAACAGCCTCTGAAATATCGATAAGTTGACTCATCAAAAAGTTATTATTGAACGAATGTATATTATTAGAAAATAATTGTGAATTTCATAATAACAGATTTTTAAAATAAAATTGACCTCTTCAATCGGTAATCAGTTTGTTGAAATAGTACGTTCTACTGTCAGTATGGATATATATTTATTGCATACTCACCTCTATGTAGTCACTGAAATACCACTTCATTCGATTACTCAAGGTATAATGAGCGATAACAGTGAAATGTACAACATACATGCAATAGCTCAGTTTGGCACCTATTTGGAATATGGACCTTGTAAGGAACCAATGGACGAATCCTAGAAATGATATCGTATAAAATATGTTGACAAGAAAACTATCGGTCTATTAGCAGGGATAGAAACATTGGAAATAGTTTCATATTTATGAAGCCAGTCTCTTTAGATTCCCCAAAACTGTTAGAACATATGAAATATTTCTATATTTATCTAGTTTTTGACAGAAAATCTAGTTTTTCTGTCAAAACCCGAAACAGGTATAGTTTGCTTTCACGGATGACATCTCTTAGTTGTATACTTATATCACTAGATGCGAAATTGCATATCATTTCAATGTAATTTCGAATATTTTTACAAAAACAACATTAGTTACTATGCTTTAAAATCGATCTGAAAAACTTGTTTGAAGTGTCGCTGAAAAATTGAAATGATAACTATAAAGTGATAGAAAGTCAACTGCAAGAAAGGAGTGATTCTGTAAGTAGCTTTATTGGGCTGTACACTACAGCTTTCTCTAGACAGTGGAATTCGTTGTTTGGTTATCATCCGTTCTTTTGAACGTTTCAAATTGTTATGGAGTACACCAGAACAGAGGGAATTGAAATTGTTCCCCTCTTTTTGAAAAACTATGAAATGGCTACAATAACTGCAAAACTTTTGAATGAAAAGCAATCCGGTGATAATCTCATTTATCCCTAGATGATAAATTGGATAAATAGATTCATGGAGACTGAATTCGGTGCCAAGATAATCATTGAACACTCATCATCTCTATCGATGTTACCCAACTTACAATTTTAGGACATGTTCAACTGAGTTCAATCACCACAAACTTAGAAGCAACTTCAAGATTTCCACTTAGAAATATTGACAGGATGTTTCAAACTAGCATCGGTACCATTTCTATAAAGTGTATCTTGAAGAAGAACTCAATGAAGATGATCCAGATCATCTTCATTTTACAGTTACATCAACATTGCCCTGTGCTAAAAATTGCACGTTTAGAGTCAAGACCTCGTTAATTCTTCGCTCGCACAAGTTTCGGATTCTGAGAGTTGTCGTTCATTGAAGGGACAGATTTTTAAAACAGAACAGATTGAAGAGCGACATCTGCGTAACAGAATAACAGATTTTTTACTGGGGTGATTCGAATCTTTCAATTGTGAGAGAACAGCATTCTCAGTATTCAGAAAAGTTGAATGCATGGGCTAGGATTTTCGAAAATGATATCGTCAGTTCTGATTTTCAACCTGGTAATTTTACGAATGAGTCTCACCTCCACTTGATTCAGGATTGCATCCTGGAATTGTGGAGATTATTGAAAGTAACAGACAAAAAACCATCTTCCATGGAAGATATTTCAGATGAACTGTTTTAAATGGGGTACCCTGTATCTGTCAGGGTGAAAATTGGAATTTTGAAACTTACCCCCGTATCCATGATATGATGAGTAAATTATCCAACAGAGTCCAATACACCATGCGGGCCTAGATAAACCAAAGTAAAAAGCTCTTTGTATTGGACCTTGGTTCACTTCAGCATCCTGATAGAAAAATAAAACGGTGAACATTTCTACTAGCACCAGGAACCAAACTATCAGATTAACTCTCTGCAAAAAACATTCCATATAATCTTAAAGTTCTTTATTTTATAAAATCTATTTGAAGACACACCACATAAACAAAACGTGAATACAACTTTCTTCATTCTGGTACATGGGTGTGTAAGACTACTTCAGTTTATTTTATGGTGCAATAGTTTTAATTAACATATACAGGATGAAGAAAACAACTTTTGTCTGATTTCTACTAAGTTTTCATTTGTTATGATCGGTTTCGGTATGTTAAACCGTTTTAAGTAAACTGCCGAAACTCAGTAGAAATCAGTTAAAAGTAGGATCGCCAAGTTCTTGAAAATTTCAAGATATTGTCTTGATCTTGTCTTGATTTCAAGAAAAGATCAATGACAAGAAATAATTTTAGATTTTAAGACACGACAATAAATTTTATGTCAATACCAAGATTTCTTGTCAAGAAAACAACAAATCTTGAAATATCTTGACTATATATTTTAACATAACATACCATATTTTAATTTGTTGAACACTGTTTTCCCTAAAACGTTTTACAAAAACGTAAATTAAAATAATGAATGATATTCACCTGTTGAAAATAAAATGGCAAACTAGATTTTATTTTAAATAACGAATTTAGTACATTTTTAAATCGGAAATGATAAGCCATGAATTAAGGCACATAACACTTATGGAGTTAACGCCTATCCGATTTTTGGCTTCGTTATTGTTAAAGATGTTCTTGAAAATAGCCTTTCCGCAGGTACAGATGTTGCAGGCGTTCCGAGAAAATCCTTGGGCATTTTAGATAATGACGTGAAGACATTTTCGTGTCTTCTCCATCAATAGTATATTCTCTATACTTCCAATATTGTAAGTTATTATTATCAGCTTTCTCAAGTAGGTAAGTAATATGTAAATCAAATTCGTTATCTCTTTTTTCAGGACTAAGTGCTGCCTCTGATATTGAATTCTGTAGATCATTCTGGGATTTATTATAATAGTTAGCTTCAAATATTTCTTCAAATTTTGTAGAAGCTTTCCCCAAGATGAAGAGGAAAATGCCTCTACTTCATGCCGAGGATCGAAAATAAGAACTATAGAGTTTTGTTATTAGTGTTTTAGTATTTTATCTCTCGCAGCTTGAATGCAGTAAATTAATTGCTCATCGGTAGCGTCTCTATCAATTTTATTATCAAGTTCATGAGCCCATATTTCCAGTTTGTCTAAAAGTAAGGTCATTCCTAGTATTTACTGAAGAGTCACTATCACTCATGTTAAAAAATAAGAGATGATTTTAATATAATGTACTTTTTATCACCAATATTCACAAACTCCCATTATAGTTATTTATGTATCAAGGGAATTAGGAGGGCCTTAATTACCGATGGCAAAGTTTGCGTCCCGAGGGCCTCTGGCTTTTGGGACAGCAATTGCCTGAGGTTATTAAGGCTCATTAATTCCCGTGGTACATAGATAATTTTATTTCTGACCGATTTCAATAAAATTTTGTTCATTTTTGAAACATATCCCGGTCAGAAATAAAAAATATAACGAAACCGGTTCAGACTACTACTTTGTAATATTAACCTTACTTAACTAAACGGGATAAAGCATGCACCTGCACATCAATTTTGCTTTCGAAAATCACCGGACACCCAGTCCGACGAAATTTCAAGATATTGAAATTTCTTGAGTCAAGACAAGATATAAGATGTCAAGAAAACGTCAAGAAAAGATTTTTTTTAAATTTCTTGATTTTTTCTCAAGATAAGACAAGAAGTTCTTGTCGAGACAAGAATTCTTGTCTTGTCGACACCTAGTTAAAAGTTATTCTTTATCCTATATTCAATATGAATTTCTCTAAAATAAATAGGTCATGAATCTAAAAAGTTTGATTAACGTATTTATTTGATAAGTATAATAATTGTATGCGACTAAATAGCTCTCTTATTGCCACATTATGAATATGTGACCATTACTTTATAGAGTTGAATAATATTAAAATGTTAATAGTGAGCTATCCTTCATAGAACTATGAAAAAAAAATATGTAGTGGATTGTTTTGTTACATCTCGAAGGAACTAGGAAGTGCTTATAATAAAAATTCGTACGTTTAGTAAGTACCACGACGCCAAATTTTCATTTACAAAATCGTTAATTATCAACAATTATTTCTCCGTCCATTGGTGAAAACCATATGAAAATGCGTTGGTTAGTTTTTTAATTCATTGCGTTCAGACAGACAATGCGGAGAATTTAACGCATAATGTATAGTGATTTGCTTAAATGTAACAGCTTAACAGCAAGTCAAAATCCATTCATAGGAAGTAAAACGAACATTTTGATTTGATGGATACAATAAAAATATAGTTAAAGTTGAAGTTGAAACAGAATTATCGTTGAATTCATTCTTCTTCATGAAAACATATCCATAGTGTTTAGTTTATTGACACTCTAGACATAACGCAATTGAAGATGAAACTGGTGAAATTATTTCGATACATTGACATTAAATTCTGCGTTTGATATAGAAGCCAAACAAGGAACGTTGAAATCCCAGAGTACCTACTAACAACCAACTTGAGTGAATCAAATTGTGAATCGATTTGAGAGAATGTATATAGATATTCAGGGTATGTAACTTATTGTTTAAAACAACATAATTTTGAGAAATTCCTTTGAATTTCGTGAATAGTTGATCACTAAACCTATCATGACGAGAGATTCTCACTAGACCGTAATTATAATATATAAATTAGAATATTATATTCTAATTTACTTTTCATGAAACATAATGTATATGGTTCGTATAATGTCTAGAGATTGGATCTCTTCGCAGGTGTGAATTAAAGATCTTAGTTGCCTTAGAAGCTAACTGTTTAATATAAAAAAAGAATTGATTTAACTATTGAATAACACGGTCTCGTCAATAGTATAAACATAATCTACTGTACAAATTCTTCTGCTCTATAACAAAAATGTCGAGACTTGCTTCTGTTGCTTCTACTTCAGCTATGAACTATTGTCTTTCGAAAAAAAAATTATTTGTAAAAATAGATTCTGAATGATTTCAGTACTCGCTCCAATAATTTTCAATGTCCATGCCTAATTTTAGATCTCTAAACCTCACTACTTTACAATTTTCATTCAAGCATATTAATTGACCTAAAAATTTCATAACTTTCTGAAGCTTAATTGTATAATCGAAATTAAATTCCAGGCTCAATTAAATCTCACTCAACCTATAACTGTAGGAACATTATCCAGAATGATATTAAAGACGTTGTTATTCATTTTTGATTTGTCAGTTTCACTTGTTTTGTATATTCAATGAAAGTTATTAGTTTTCCTTCTTGATTTCATCAGTCTGACGACTGAAATACTGCCTATGTCTGTGATATAACAATAATGTCTGAATGTTGTAATTTGTTGGACAATCGACTGTTGAACAGAGATTAACCGAAATTCTGACTAAATTTTTTAGGTTGACAGAACTAAAACGAACATATAAATACTAATATTGACAGTAATATGAGAGTCTGGTAATATTTTTTAATGAATGATGGACCCTCTTCGGAGCAAGCAAAATATATGTGTCAAAATAGAATCTGTTTATATTGCAAAATGGAAAATTACATTGATAAGAATTACAACGAATCAGATTAGATGTTGATATCATTCACAAATTGTACTGCAGCTTCTTCCAGATCATGAAGCTGCTGGTTCATTCAGAAATTTTGTGATATTTCTATTCAGAGCTTTAATCTATAATATGGTCTGGACTCCTTTTCATAGTATCAGATATAATAATGTCAGGTCAGATAATTCCACGTTCTGCTTCGGGTTTAAAATGGACACAAAAATGGCACAATCATGTCGCTGAAATTGCAAAGGCTGCTTCTCAAAAGCTTGGAACACTGTTCCGAACCTGAAAACTGTACACACTTTAGCAAGTATTGATGCCTCATCAGAACAGATCTTCTTTGAAGCTGCTGGATTCCATTCAGAAAAGAGTCATCCGCCTGATTGGAGAAGCGAATATCACTTGCAACCTTGATAGTCTGGAACACCGAAGAAAGGTTGAAGATTTGTCGCTCTTCTATAAATACTCTAACGGGAAGTGTTCAAGTGACTTGGAACATTTGATTCCACCAAGAGCGGTTCATTCCCAACTGCTTGGAAAACTTCTATAACAATACCAATACACAAGTCGGGAAACAAAATGGATGTGGAAAATTATAGGGCAATTTCCATAATGTGTACTCCAGCGAAACTATTTGAGTGGATCATTTTTATCAAACTCAGCAATCACACTCATAAATATATAATACCACAACAACACGGATTCATGAGACAAAAAACAATCAGCACTAATCTATTGATATTAAGCAATAAGGTTTATGACACGTTAGAAAATAAATCACAGTTGGATATTGTTTTCACGGACTTCAGAAAGGCAGTTGATCACGTGCATCATGACTTACTCCTAGAAAAGCTTAGTGGCTATGGATTGTCCAGAAATTTGCTTGAATTGATGAAGAATTATCTTCAAAAACGATATTTCACGGTCAAACATAATGGAAATACTTCAGGAAAATGTTTGGCTAATTCTGGAGTTCCACAAGGCTCGAACCTAGGACTTCTTCTGTTTTTACTTTTTATTAATGATTTGCCTTCAACTCTTGAATTTTCGGAGTGCTTACTTTTTGCAAATGACTTAAAACTCTTCAAACGTATTCATACTGTTCGAGACTGTATAGGACTGCAGAGAGATATTGATAAAACCATTGATTGGAGTCTAAGGAATAAATTATATTTCAATTTGAAAAAATTATCTGTTCTCTCAATCACTCGTATTAAAGAGCCAATTCTGTTTGAATATGAAAAGAAGGGAGAGATCCTAGAGAGAAAAACTGAAATAAAGGATCTTGGTGTTACCTATAATTCACAATTCAACTTTACCACTCACATTAATAACATGATTAAGTCCGTTGATCGTATTTTAGGTTTTGTTATCAGACAAACATCGAATTTTGCCAATATTAACACCATTAAATTATTATATTATTCCCTGGTCAGCCCTAAACTAGAATTTGCCTCAATTATTTAGTCCGGGGAATATCAAACATATCTAAATAATTTGGAAAAAGTACAAAACAAACTGTTGAGATATTTGTATTTTAAAAAGTACCACGTGTGGCCTAATTATAATACCGTCAGGACATATCAATTAAGATCGGAATTCAAGATACTATCCTTAGACCAGAGACGAACTTTAACATCAATGATATTCCTGTATAAATTAATAAACAATTTAACAAATTCCCAAGAAATCCTCAATATGCTTCCATTTAATGTACCTCCACGGTGTATACGTTCCGCATCAATGTTTAATATCTCTGCAATATGTTCATCATCGAGAGCACCTTTTTTAGCTATGATTAAATTAATGAACAATTTCAATCTACTTATGGATTTAGATTGGACCTTACCTCTATCAGTTTTTCGTAAAACAATTTTAGAACAAATATTGAATTCAACTCTGTCAAACTGAACATATATTTGACGAATCCACTCAGTGCAGTTATGGACGACTCTCTACAAATCTGGTATCAGTAAGTAATAGTTTAGTAATCTAGATCTATATTTAATAGCTGTCATTCTAGTGTATTTGCCAACAGTTTATCTATGTAATTAGTCTATAATGGACTGTATGGGTGATAAATACAAATAAATAAATAAAATAATACGCGACGGACTGTGGCTGCTCATCGTTTTGAGGATCAATTCAGTACACCTCGAACTTCACTAATAATCTCCAGCGATTCAAATCCAATGTGAATCACTATTTTCGCATAGGGTGCCTAGGGTCTACAGGATTTTCCTGGAGTGCTTGTTTTGGGCTTAAAAAATTGTCTCATGCCAAATCCTATAATAGAAAGTATTTTTCAATAATGGCAGATTGGAGATTTGCCAAAAGGGTGCCTTTCAGTAAATCTAGCGATGTTATAAAATTACTGGAAAATTTTTCCTATACCAGTCTCTGACATTTTTTATACATAAGAGTCTGGAAATTACTTTTCCAATTGAATAAAGAACGGTCATGTTGAAATATAATCATTCCCTGTGCAATAGTGGTTTCACCTGTTTCTATAATTCTGAAAGTTACGTTCCTATTAAATCAAGCATCTTTTAAGCTTAGAAAAACAGTGGTTCAGTATATCTCCGCTTATGTTGGGAAACGAAGCACGTTTAGCGTTGAAAGTGCTTTATACAACTCATACCTACTTTCATTTGAATCAAGCTGCAAATAATTCAACTGTGATTGTACAATTGGGACAATGAATCACACGATTTGTTGGTGAAGAATGAGGTGTATTAAAGGTTAGTTTATACAGTTTCATTTCAAAAAATTTTCAAACCCAGTGGATTTTCTCCATCAACGGTAATACGGGATCATTCGTCGGAGTCTGATATTATCCTATTCACATTTTCAAAAATATCCGCAATATTTTAGAGGAATGAGATCAGGCATTTCATCAACTATACGAAAGAATTATTTCGAATAGGTTTCGAATAGGTTCGACTTGTTTTGGAAATTGAAATCTACTGGCTGAAGTTGCATTGCTTTAAAATCGAAAATTTATCTATTGACAGACTCTGTACTTTTTGATACTCACAGAATGGTATTTCTTCTTAACTATGCTCAGAAATGGTTGGTCCTTCTTCTGTCTCATATAAACTCCCATCATAAAACCAATATAAAAATCAGTCAGCCTCAAATGAGTGGCCATGGAACTATAAAAAAAGTAAAAAAAAAACAATGGTAGGTTGTTCAAGCGTAAATCAATCACTTTTCTTTTAAGTTCTCAATGTTTCCACTAAAAAGGGTATACCTCAAGTGCACCAGGTTTAATCTGTTCAAAGTGCGCAAATCCACATTTTTCTGTTAAGCAAATGAGTATATCGATGTAAGTTGATAAAATTTCCAAAGCATCGGTCAAGCAATTTTATTTTAAATTATTATACACGAAATTTAAAACTTTGGTAATTATGGAATCGATGAAGCATGTAGGTACAGTGTCCAAATTGGAAAATTTTAAAGGGGAACTTCTGTTTTCAAACTAGATAGATGAAAAGTGATGGCTGTGTCTGAGATTTAAATTTTATGATAAACTCAATAGTGAAAACCGCATATCGATATTCATCATCGTTTCTGAGTTACAGCATGTTTTCCGAAAATGTGTACTTTCCAAAAGTTGCTGTAACTTTTTTCCTGTAAAAAATTTATTGTTTCTATGGAAACATTTCCAAAGCAATTTTTTACGTAGATTTGATTCTACGTAATCGTACGTTGAAGGAAATAATCGAATGTTTTACTGTAAGACCCGAAATTTTATGTTTCCATTTTTTAACGAATACTTTTTTATTAAACAATACCATGCAAGCGATCATCATGATGACTAGGATGAGTCTGTAGGGACGAGTGATTTATTTTTTTCTTGTTACTCGATTGGTACTGTTCAAAAATAACAAATTTTGATACATTGTGAAAATTTCACTAAACAGTTTTACAAAAACGCAACACGTGTTTCGCCATACAATGACTTCATCGGACGTATCTTTACTAACTATATTCTTTATATACCTAATTTTAGAATTTGAAGTAGGTACCTACATTTCAAGTATCTGAGTTTTACGTGTTCATTTAATGTTTAATGTGTACCTGAGTTTGTAATGAATTAAATTACCTGAGCTTATGTAACAGTTTCCACATTTGAAACATTATTTAGTAATGGGAGTCATTCAATTCTAATTGATCATTCTAGAAGATTCAGTTTCAAACTTTTCTCTTCTGAATGTAACACGTCGTATTCATGATTGAACTTATGTCCTTCTGCTAAAAGGTGGTTTGCAAATGTGGAATTGGTCTTTCTATTTGCAAAACTACATATATGATCTTTAATTCTTTGGGGAAATGTTCCCCTGTTTGGCCAATATACAGTTTTGAGCAGGAGTCAGCTTATATACTCCTGATCTATCCCACACCGAAGTTTTGTTTTTATTGTTCTTAATAAATTTACTCAGAGTATTATCCGTTTACGCCTTCTCTCTTCAAAAAACGGACAATAGTATTGGTGGGTTCACCCAAATATGACAATGTCCTATCTATAACTTCTTAAATTTGGGTAGACGTGGTCCATGGCTTGTTTTTGTAGTTTTTTGGAAAGAATGGAGTCTATAATATCTACCTTATAACCGTTGTTGACCGTGATTTGTTTGATCAAACTCAGCTCTCTCTGGAAATTACTCTCAGACAGTGACATATTCAATAGTCTGTGAAACATACTATTGAATGCAGCTACTTTATGCTGGTGAGGGTATCTGGAGGAATTATGTATGATAATGTCCGTGTAAGATATTTTGTGGAAAATTGCAAAATCATGTCTATTGTTATTTTTCGTAATGGTTAAGTCGAAGTAATTGCCATTGTATGGCGAAACACGTGTTGCGTTTTTATAAAACGCAATGAAAATCTCAGAATAAAGTGTTTTTTGAATACGTTAAAAACAAACGAGTTGAAAAAATGTGCATTAATCGAGTGGAATTTGTAATCATTATTTTCTAAAATACTCTTAGCCGAATTCATCAATAAGAGAATGAAATATCAATTCTCAAATTGGATCAATTTTATTACTGTCAACAAGAACATGTCTTCGAAAGTAAAATTATTGAAGACACAATGCTCGAGTACTTAAATGACGTAGCTATTATTTTTGAACAATAGGATTTGATTGTTGGAATCTTGATCTTGACAGGAGACCACAGAACCGGCACCCGAGTCTCCACTTACTTGACGCGCTAAATGCATTAACTGTACGTCGCGTGATCTTTTCGTCTTCAATAAAATCGCTACTATTCAGAATAACGATATATAATCGAAAGGTCGTGGATAACATCTTGTTGACGAATATTTTGTTATTAATAATATCTATATTTTTTGAATGATTTTCAAGAGCTTTTTAGCTGGTTCCTATTTGATTGAAAAGGCTTTCAACAAATTGTGACATCTTCACTTGTCACCTCAAAAATCTCAATACAATCTCTTTAATTCAAAATATAAAACATATCAAATCATATAAACATTATACAGTGAGGAAAAATATAAATCATAATGACTCAAAAGACGAATAATCAAACAATTACTATGGGCGAAATGATTCAAGCCAACTTCTTCTCTATAGCACGATAACCTTGACATTATTTACAGTCTATTTTTGACAGTGAAAGCATAAAATTTAAATTTATTCAGTTTAATTTTTGGTTCATGAAGGATCCAATTTATCCATTTAATTTTATTGAAATTTGCAATTATGTTAAATTATTCAGTAATCACCAAAAAAATTGGGTTTGTGTGATTCTAAGATCATGATGATGTTGGTCTTCATGGATAGTTACTATTCATCAATTTCATGGATTTTGTACCATAGTCATGTTATTTTTGAATAAAAAGCAAAAAATCTAAAAAAAACCTATTGCAATGTATTACATTTCTTCCTCCAGAGAGCACATGTATTACTGTTTCATAACAAGCAAAATTATGTTTGAAGGTGATTGACAATGTTTCATGATGAATTTCACTAGTTCGGACTTCCATTGTCTACTATATAAAATGATTATTCTTATTTTCATCTATTCATTTTTAATTCTTCTTTTTTAGTTGTTTCAGGGATTTCAAATCATTTTATATAGTAGACAATGGAAGTCCGAACTAGTGAAAAAGTTGAAAAAGAAAGTAACCTAGAAAGAAAACCAACCTCATTTTGTAAATTATTATTCAGTTGCCACAGTTTTTCTTACTGAAAATGGATTGAAAATACTTACTTTTTGAATTCCGGAAAAACTATCCACTGTATTATTGGCTGAATAATGAATGCTACATTCAAAATTAACAACATTACCATCGAATATGTGAATCCATTGGATTTTTTCAATATGAGAGATACGGGAATCAAGAGCAGTGGTGATATTATATACATTTGTAAATCTACAGACAAATACCAGTGCGGCACTAGACACTGAAAATAACCAGAAACATAAAATTAAAGGCATTCAAACAAATGTTTTAGAATACCGAAAATAATAGAGGATATTTAGTTGATAAATAAAGTACGAGGTTTATGAACTTTCAAAAAATTTAAAAAACACGAACTGCTACAGTAGTTCATCAATCAAATGAAATTTACAAATGTAGCTATAGGAACCGAAAGATTTCTTGAGATACGTGAAAATAGTAAATCGACTTGATATTCAATCACACAGTGAAGCTGGAACTACTATCTGGCATACGATGGTAGTATGCACAATGACAGGAAACCCATGATATATAATAAATGATTGGAATTTGTCACTTCAGTTACTTTCTTGAAAAATAAGTTACATCTTTTCCATATTTCTGATTGCCTTGTGAGTTTATAAAATCCCGAAAACTTGTACTTACCAATTCATCCCAGTTCACGTAATTCTGTATGTACAAAATATATGACCACCAATATTTCTTGCAAGGAACTAATTCCTGTTCGATAGCAGGATGCCAGTATGGCCCTGAGCCCGTTTTTGGCAAGATGAACAAAACTGACAGATACATCATCAATACTGCTGGCGTAATCCTGAAACAGAACACAAAAAATGGATTTTTCTGAACGACAATTCTCAAGAATGAAAACATGGGTATAACGAGGCCTTATCGCTTGAAGTCTGATTCCCAGCAAGGATCAGATGATACTCAGTGAGCTTATATCGTCCCACACTCGCGTCATTACATTTGGATTTCATGACATCGGCTGCGGATGCACATCTTTACCGGCAGCAGAAGGTTGCATATCTTTATGAGAATCCAGAAGTAATTTCGAATTGTGGTGAAAGTAACCATGTTCGATTCAATGCCATAAAAACCCAGGCATAGATTTTCTCCGAAAAGATTAATGTCTCTGAACCGGATGTAAAGATTTCAGGTTAGATAATTCCATTTTCTGTTTCGATAAGTTTGTTGGGGGTCAAAATAGACACCAATATGTCTTGGCACAATCGACTGACTGGATTTGCAAAGGCTGCTTCTCAAAAGCTTGGAACACTGTTCCGAACCAGAAGACTGTACACACCTCTGCAACTTTTGATGTTTTATAAAGCTCAGATCAGATCTCCTTTGGAGCATTGTTCTCATATATGGAGCTCCACCTGAAGGTGCAACCAGAAAAGAGCCTTCTGCTTGATTGGGGATGCGAACATCACTTGCAACCTTGATGTAACATCGAAGAAAGATTGTAAATTTGTCTCTCTCCTATAGATACTTCCATGGGAAGTGTTCAATTGACTTAGCACATTTGATTCCACCAAGAACTGTACATATCAGAAATACGTGACGGACTGTGGCTGCTCACAGTTTTGAGGTTCAACTCAGTACACCCCGGACTTCAGTGTTCAAGAACTCTTTTATTTGAAGAACTACGTATATGTGGAATAAATTTCCTGAGAACGTTTTTCCAAATGGATTTAATCTTCAGCTATTCAAATTCCACAAACAATAATGAACTGCGATTCCTTAAACTTGTCGGGAGATATGAATATTAACCTTTTATCAATGAATAATTCTGTATAATTATTTCTGAACTTTCTTCAATGTTATAATCTGTCTCAACGGATAGAAGTCCCTACANACATGCTATCCCCTAGGTTAAGTTGTAAAACAGCTTCGGCTGAACTTCGCTCTTTCATTGATTTTTATATCTATTTCTTCTTTATGAACAGTGTATGTCAATGAATAAAGCACATTTATTATTATTTTCATTATTAAATCCAATATGATCGCTTCTTTCGCACAGACACCGCTCTAAGAGCGTCTTAAGGATTTTGCTGTAGTGTTTGTGTTTTATCCATAAAAAAAAAGAACTAACTGACCAACCATCTATCACGGACTTACCAACTCTTATATTACTTTCAGGATTGGAAAAGTTCAATAAACCAATACTGATAAATTATTGAGGAGAAAAAACTTCGACTCACCTCAGATAACGGTGAAAATAAAAATATGGAACTTTTTTTATCTGAGTATGTAATGAAGGCGTTTTTCCTTTGAAGTATTGATAGGCCACCAGAAATCCACTGATGAAGATAAATGTATCAACACATACATGAGCAGCGTCAAGGTATCCTGAATATATTTTGGTGTGAATCTGAAAACAACATAATTTGGTTAAAACTGAAATAATATCACAATACTGAGATGTTTCCAGTGACTTCGTTAGCAAAAACTTCAGTTTTTGACTTTTCTTATTTTCTCTAACAGCAAAATCACATCATGAACTACGAACACCATGAACAACAACTGAACAGTATGTTTATAGTATTTTTTTCAACAAATGTTTCAACTTAACATAACCTTTTTATTTATGAACCGATCGAAATGAAACAAACACTAAATTTTGGGTGAAGCTTACCATAATGGATTAGTGAAAATGGTACAAAAATCATCTTAGCCATTTTCGAGATTAGCGCGCGAAAACGTACACACAAATATACAGCGATCGTTAAACATATATTATACAGTGCGGACGTTCCTAACCAGTCCCTCCTTTTTTATAAAAAAGCCAATGTTGTGACATCACTCGCCGCAAAGAAGGCGCTATCAATTTTTTTTCAATAGAAGGGGGTTCTTGTGACCCTTTGCTCGAAATGTATTTCAATTCTCTATATAACAACCTTTACTGTTTTGAATTAGGATAGGCAGTTGCATTATGAATTGGAGACGAGATGAAACAGCTCCAAAGTTAGTTATCACAGGTTATACAATGTTTGTAATGTGTGAGAGAAAAAAAATATTTACGGTTACAAATCATATTCAGAATAAAATTGAACCAAAATATTTGACAAAAAAGCACATTTCGGTTTTTTATCAGACTGAGGAGTTTTTATGATCGATTATGTAGATGAAAATCCACATGGTGTTACCCTAGTGACAAAAAGTATAGTGTTTTCGCTGAAATGGTGTTCGCGGAAACGATGTTAAATGCAAGATTTTCCGATAATCTGATCTGTCGAAAATGTCTCAGGAAACTGGTTGAGAAATTTCAAACAACTGGAAGTATAATTCGACCAAGAAGAGCCAGAAAAAAATCCATCTCGGACGAGAATAATTGCTCGTGAGAATGAGGTCTCAACAACCACCGCAGAAGACATAAGTTTCACCTCTATGAACTGAAGATATTACATGAGTTGAATGAAGATGACCCGAAGAGAAAAATGCAATTGTGTGAGTTGTTTGAACGTTTCGTTGCCAACCAAAACTGCATAAATAATATTTGTTTAGTGACGAATGCACTCTTTCTTAAATGGAAATGTCAATAGCCAAAATGTGTGATATTAGTCAGACATAAACCTACAAATTTGTCAAGCTCACATTCAAACTACAGAGAAAANTTCATTCCGCACGAACCAAGGAGCATTCACAATCATCCTTATTAACTTATTTTGCAATCTCTCCTGAATGGAGATATTAGACGGAGCCGCTTGTCCCCAGACGCATGAATTATACATGATGACAGGCTTGAACATCGTGTTGTAGATGGTAATTTTATTCTTGAGACTCATTTTGCATCTTCTGTTATTCAGAGGGTACAGACTGGCTTTCCGGCCCTCGATCTTTGTTTGAACTGATATAATGTATGGGTTCCAAGTAAGCCTGCGGTCTATTAGAAGGCCGAGGTACTTTACCCGCGCTTGCCAGTCGATCTCCCTTCCAGAGACCCTTACTTTCCTAGCCGGAGAAGATATAGTTCTTTCCATGGTTATCGTTAGGCAGAACATTTCGGTCCTCAACTTCTTCATTGATCCTTTGCAGAACGACTCTTTCAGCCAGCTTATCCGCCGACGAAAGCAGACTAATCGGACGATATTCTGTGGGAACACCGGGTTCTGACTCTGTTTCGGGAGCACGATGACGATCGCATGCTTCCACCTTCTGGGGAAGTATCTGAGGGCCAACGAACTGTTTATTATGTTCAGAAGGTTCTCGACGCAGTTGTCTGGGAGCCTCTTCAATAATATATTGGTTATCAAATTGGCCCCCGGAGTTTTCTTCGCCTTTGTAGCCTTGATATACTTCTTCAGCTCTTCCCCAGAAGCTGGACGGATGTTATCATCAGCATCTTCCCTGAGGATGCGGTGAACCCAATCTTCCAGCAGCATATCGCGATCGATGTCATCGTTGTTGTCAACGTTAAGTTGAAACTGACGTTCCATCGAATCGGCAAAGGCTAACGCTCTGTCGGCGGGGGAGTAGCACACTCCGTGCTCTCCGTGAATGGGTAAGAGAGCAGTCTTCTTCACCTTGAGTCTGCGGGTGACTCGCCATCCCCAGGCTCATCCCACCTTTTCTTCCGGTGACCAATGATGGTCTGCTTGACTTGGTTGGCCATCCTACTTGCCACAATTTCATCACCTGGGAAAAGAGTTCGCTGGTAGAGCCTTCTCAGGTGATTTCTCTCTCGTAACAAGGCTTTGATATGAGGGGGAAACTCATTATAGCTCTTCAGCGGACACTCCTCCCTGGAGGTGGCCGCTTGGAACGCATCATTACCGAGAGCTCGAAACGTCCAACTGCCGCGTCGAGATCGTCGGGAGAGCGGAGTGCTTCAGGAGGCTCGCGCATCTCTCTGAGATGGGCTGTGAAGATGTCCCAATCTGTCGATGATCTCACGCGATAATCAAGAGAAGGTAGTTCATCGCCCAATACCAGGATTACTGGATTATGATCGGAGTCCAGTTCCGACAGAACGTAAATTTCGCCAGTCAGAGAGACGTTTCTGAGAAGCGCGATGTCTAGTACGTCAGGCCTAGTCTGCCCGCGATAGAACGTAGGCTCATCTGGACCCAGCACAAGATATTCATGCCTATCGACATGCTCATAGAGCGCTTAGCCGTTTCGATTTGTGGCTCTACTGTGCTTGGCATTGAAGTCGCCAGCAGCAATTTTCGGAATGTTGCTTCCCATCAGCAGTTCATTCAGTGATTCTAGGAGTAAGTGATTGTTTGGAGGGTTGTAAACCGAGATTAGTTTGTGACAACCCCTGCTCAGTTGAATTTCGATACCTGCGGCCTCAGTTCCGTGTAATTGGGCACTGTCAATGCCGTATTGAACACACTGAAGGGATCGTTTCCAGCACGTCCAACACGTTCTCTGTGAAAAAATCTGTAATTTGGAATGACAATAGATTCGTTCCTAAGATGTGTCTCTTGGACTAGAGCCACATCGATGTTATTTTCAATTAAAGAATTCTCAAAGTCAAGTTTTTTAAAACGAATGCCATTAGCATTCCAAATAACAATCTTCAACCAACAACGTTGGTTGTCTAGACATTGGGAGTTCCGGTTATCACGTCGGTATTCACCATGAACATTTTCTGTAGCACGGGGAATTGTACAAACAATTTTTTCATCTGGTCCAATGCGGCACAGATGTCTGAAACTCCCTGCGTCTGAGGTGAGGATTCAGGTTGAGAAGGGGTAGGCTTTGCAGTACTGCTGGCACCCTTAGATGAAGCCTTAGCAAAGCTGACCCCTCCTGGTGGCACTGATGTTGGGGCTCAACCTGAACCTTCACGCTCAGGACGTCTTTGACATCAAAGATATGCCTTTGGTCCTTGCTCAACAGAACAAAAATCATTGTCATGGGCTTGTTAAAGCGCTTTATCTTCACGGCCCAAAATTTCCCAACTTTTTCCCAAGTCGAAAAAGCAGGGGGCGAGGCTCCCTCCCCATCCCCCCATGGCGACGGCCCTCGTCACAAGTGTATAGAAAACTCTCAATCATTTTTGTTCTGTATGAATCATTCAATTCCACTAGCGTGACGACAAATTTTTATAGATGGGATAGCAAACATTATCCCAATAATACTTGTCTGTAACCTGGAAACTATTATCACTTATCTAGCTTATGCACCGTATATCATTGCGTAATATGGATTCATTAATGCATGCCTATTTAGAGCGTCTTCTGTCCTCATATTGAAAATTTGCTGAGGAAAGTTTTTTAACCTCTTCCTACCGAGACGTTCATTCGAAATCTGATGATCTGCCAACATGTGCCTCTGAAGCAAGTGAGGTTCTTTCTATCGGGCATAACTGCAACAAATCGAAGTTCAACAAAAGTTGCAAGTTGGTCGGTCGGTGGCCAGGTGGTTCGACGCGGGTGCTTTGTTCACTCACTCGAATTGACTGCCGTGTTGGTCGGTGGTTCAAGCCCTANCGAAATGTATTTCAATTCTCTATATAACAACCTTTACTGTTTTGAATTAGAATAAGCAGTTGCATTATGAATTGGAGGCGAGAATTGAAGCAGCTCCAAAGTTAGTTACCACAGGTTATACAATGTTTGTAATGTGTGAGAGAAAAAAATATTTACGGTTACAAATCATATTCAGAATAAAATTGAACCAAAATATTTGACAAAAAAGCACATTTCGGTTTTTATCAGACTGAGGAGTTTTTATGATCGATTATGTAGATGAAAATCCACATGGTGTTACCCTAGTGACAAAAAGTATAGTGTTTTCGCTGAAATGGTGTTCGCGGAAACGATGTTAAATGCAAGATTTTCCGATAATCTGATCTGTCGAAAATGTCTCAGGAAACTGGTTGAGAAATTTCAAACAACTGGAAGTATAATTCGACCAAGAAGAGCCAGAAAAAAATCCATCTCGGACGAGAATAATTGCTCGTGAGAATGAGGTCTCAACAACCACCGCAGAAGACATAAGTTTCACCTCTATGAACTGAAGATATTACATGAGTTGAATGAAGATGACCCGAAGAGAAAAATGCAATTGTGTGAGTTGTTTGAACGTTTCGTTGCCAACCAAAACTGCATAAATAATATTTGTTTAGTGACGAATGCACTCTTTCTTAAATGGAAATGTCAATAGCCAAAATGTGTGATATTAGTCAGACATAAACCTACAAATTTGTCAAGCTCACATTCAAACTACCGAGAAAATAAATGTCTGGGCACGAAAATTCAGAAACCATATTGCCGGTCCCATATATCTAGAGAAACATCTGATTAGTAATTCATATATTTGCAAATTATTTCGAACCTCATTCACCCACAGAGTCAAGAAATTGTAGTCAACGATCAAGATGAATTTGAGATTCAGTTGTTTTCTAACAAAAATGGTGCACCACCATATTTTTGTACGCCTGGGCGGCATTGGTTGAATCAGACAAACTCAGGCATGTGGATTGGTAGGCTAGGTCCGTTGCAATGGTCTTTTCGTCACCGGATTTGACTCCTCTCGATTTCTTTCTGTGGCTCTGTATCAAATCGGAAGTTCATGCTACGCAACTTGGAACAATAGAGCACTTGGAGACAGAATTACCGAAACTTGTGCTACCACAGAAATATTTCAAAATGTTACAGATACGTTCGAAAATAGACTGTTTCACCGTCAGATGTTACTGATTTATTTCTCTTTTCAATGAACATTTATTTCAAGAAATCTGATATAGCGTGGCAAAATTACGAAATTTCTAGTCTCAAATCAAACTTTATTAACTTCGCAACCGATTATCAAAATTCAAAAAAGTGAGGGTCATTCTACAGAGAATTGAAGTACCTTTCATACGAATTTTCACCCTGCTTTCCAAAAATGATAATTATAGCGCCCTCCCTGCAGCAAGTGAAATCACACTATTGACTTTTTTACCAAAAAGTTGCAAGTTACGAGTTACAAATTACAAATATTTTGGCTGACTCTGTACTCGCCCCGTCGAAAGTTAAGAGAGGAGTACTATTTACGTTCACACTATGTACTGATAATTAACGAGGTCTTACTTTTTAACGTGTGCTTCCTTACACGGGTTGGACGATAGCAAGTGAAAAAGAAATAGGACAAATCATAAAATTCTACAGTTGTCGAAAGAAAATATTCTCTTCGTAAATGATTTACCAAAAATTTTAATATACAGGGTGGGTTAGTGAATACGAAACAAGGCCAGTTTCACACAAACAGCTTTTAGGAAAAAATTCCCTCGAGTTCATCGATTTTAATTTACAGGGGTACATTTTTTGAGCCAATTATAAATTCTGTCACTTTCACGTTGAAATTGATGTCAAGTTAACATGAAGAACGTTAGCTGTTAAGTTTTGACCTTACAAATGACAGATAATGAAATAAGTTTGGCCACTATCACTAGAGGTACGTGACTCTATTTCTATTAGTACCTACAAGGGTGGTATATAATGGTGAATGTAATGAATCATTGTTAGTTTATTGTATAAGTTTAAAAATGTCAGTATAAAACGAAACTGCAGTAACGTTAGTTACAAATAAAAGTGGTAAAAAACATAGAAAGTTTCATTTCTCTTTTCTTCATTATGATTTCGTACCACGTAGTAACGGCTACATCCATCAATTTATCGAAAAATAACAATTTCATTGAACATCAGAACATCAATGTCGCCTTTCACTGTGTACCCCTACCTGGCTGGGGTGAGATGGATGAAAAATTGTTCATCTTTTAACGGAGGCGTAGGGGCCTCATTCGACAGAGTGTCGGGGCCTTCTATATCGGGAAGGGTCGTCTACAGCACAATCTATAGCTTCCTTAACTAACGGATTATCATGAATTTCAAAAACTCGCTGATTCCTCGACTGAATGGACTGCCGAATGGAAGGTAGCTGCAAATCTCTGCGGATGGCTTCATTCCGCACGAACCAAGGAGCATTCACAATCATCCTTATTAACTTATTTTGCAATCTCTCCTGAATGGAGATATTAGACGGAGCCGCTTGTCCCCAGACGCATGAATTATACATGATGACAGGCTTGAACATCGTGTTGTAGATGGTAATTTTATTCTTGAGACTCATTTTGCATCTTCTGTTATTCAGAGGGTACAGACTGGCTTTCCGGCCCTCGATCTTTGTTTGAACTGATATAATGTATGGGTTCCAAGTAAGCCTGCGGTCTATTAGAAGGCCGAGGTACTTTACCCGCGCTTGCCAGTCGATTTCCCTTCCAGAGACCCTTACTTTCCTAGCCGGAGAAGATATCGTTCTTTCCATGATTATCGCCTGAGTTTACTGGGTCCACTCGGATCTTCCACTCAAGGTACCAGCGCTCGAGGTCGTCCAATGCACGTTGCATATAGATGATCCCGAGCTCCCGACCCATGGAAGATGAGAGGAGAGGAGGAATGACCCGATCCACCGGATCAGTCCATGAGGCAGGACTGATCCGGCCGGTGTAGAAGGCCTTCGTGCCAAACACGGTAAAAGGCCTTCGAGATGTCCAAAAGGACTACGTGAACTTTACGATTGTGGTTTAGCTCTTGGATGATATTTTAGACCAGTCTCAGAGCCTATAAATCGGTGGAGTGGTCTATCCTGAATCAGAATTGTTCGTTAGGCAGAACATTTCGGTACTCAACTTCTTCGTTGATCCTTTGCAGAACGACTCTTTCGGCCAGCTTAGCCGCCGACGAAAGCAGACTAATCGGACGATATTCTGTGGGAACACCGGGTTCTGAATCTGTTTCGGGAGTATGATGACGATCGCATGCTTCCACCTTCTGGGGAAGTATCTGAGGGCCAACGAACTGTTTATTATGTTCAGAAGGTTCTCGACGCAGTCGAGAGCCTTCTGGGAGCCTCTTCAATAACCTATTGGTTATCAAATCGGCCCCCGTAGTTTCCTTCGCCTTTGCAGCCTTGATATACCCCTTCAGCTCTTCCACAGAAGCTGGACGGATGTTATCATCATCTTCCTTGAGGATGCGGTGAACCCAATCTTCCAGCAGCATATTGCGATCGATGTCATAGTTGTTGTCAACGTTATGTTGAAACTGACGTTCCATCGAGTCGGCAAAGGCTAACGCTTTGTCGGCGGGTGAGTAGCACACTCCGCGCTTTTCGTGAATGGGTAAGAGAGCAGTCTTCTTCACCTTGAGTCTGCGGGTGACTCGCCATCCCCAGGCTCATCCCATCTTTTCTTCCGGTGACCAATGATGGTCTGCTTGACTTGGTTGGCCATCCTACTTGCCACAATTTCATCACCTAGGAAAAGGGTTCGCTGGTAGAGCCTTCTCAGGTGATTTCTCTCTCGTAACAAGGCTTTGATATGAGGGGGAAATTCATTATAGCTCTTCAGCGGAAACTCCTCCCTGGAGGTGGCCACTTGAAACGCATCATTCACCGAGAGCTCGAAACGTCCAACTGCCGCGTCGAGATCGTCGGGAAAGCGGAGTGCATCAGGAGGCTCGCGCATATATCTGAAGTGGGCTGTGAAGATGTTCCAATCTGTCGATGATCTCACGCGATAATCAAGAGAAGGAAGTTCATCGCCCAATACCAGGATTACTGGATTATGATCGGAGTCCAGTTCCGACAGAACGTAAATTTCGCCAGTCAGAGAGATGTTTCTGAGAAGCGCGATGTCTAGTACTTCAGGCCTCTTCTGCCCGCGATAGAACGTAGGCTCATCTAGACCCAGCACAAGATATTCATGCCTATCGACATGCTCATAGAGCGCTTAGCCGTTTCGATTCGTGGCTCTACTCCATAGTCTGTGCTTGGCATTGAAGCCGCCAGCAGCAATTTTCGGAATGTTGCTTCCCATCAGCAGTTCAGTGATTCTGGGAGTAAGTGATTGGAGGGTTGTAAACCGAGATTAGTTTGTGACAATCCCTGCTCAGTTGAATTTCAACACCTACGGCCTCAGTTCCGTGTAATCGGGCACAGTCAATGCCGTATTGAACACACTGAAGGGATCGTTTCCAGCACGTCCAACACGTTCTCTGTGATAAAATCTGTAATTTGGAATGACAATAGATTCGTTCCTGAAATGTGTCTCTTGGACTAGAGCCACATCGATGTTATTTTCAATTAAAAAATTCTCAAGTCAAGTTTTTTAAAACGAATGCCATTAGCATTCCAAATAACAATCTTCAGAGATCTAGGCAACGTTGGTTGTCTAAACATTGGGAGTTCCGGTTATCACGTCGGCATTCACCATGAACATTTTCTGTAGCACGGGGAATTGTACAAACAATTTTTTCATCTGGTCCAATGCGGCACAGATGTCTGAAACCCCCTGCGTCTGAGGTGAGGGTTCAGGTTGAGAAGGGGTAGGCTTTGCAGTACTGCTGGCACCCTTGGATGCAGCCTTAGCAAAGCTGACCCCTCCTGGTGGCACTGATGTTGGGGCTCAACCTGAACCTTCACGCTCAGGAGGTCTTTGACATCAAAGATATGCCTTTGGTCCTTGCTCAACAGAACAAAAATCATTGTCATGGGCTTGTTAAAGCGCTTTATGCACTTTACTGACGCGAGGTCAAAGCCTCTGGATTCAAGCTCCTCGCGAACATCATCGGTTGCCAGGTGCTCTGGCACGCCCCTGGAAACAGCACGAATTTGCCGTTCTTCAGGGAGCGAGTAGGTGTGGTGGGGGATTTTTTCCCTCACCAAGAGTCTGGACAACCGACGATAATCGTCAGAAGTCTCAGGCTGAACTTTTATGCCATCTTGCAGGTTGACGGCTTTGGAGAACTTGATGTTCTCTTGAGCCGTCAACTTCAACAGGGATATCCATTTGTCTTTCTAGCGGACAACAATTGGTGGAATTCTGGCCGTTTTGGCCGTCGGATGTGAATTTTGTTTAAGAGGGGTAGAGGTAACAGGTTCCTCCCCGTGGACTGACTTCCTGAAGTGGAAGCACTATCATACACTATTTTTTCATCACTCTCCATCTCGACATCATTGTTAGTATTGCCGCTGGGAGCGGCCGGCTCGTCGACCCGATTTTGGATCCCTAGAACTGAGAATGTTTAGTTCGATGTTCTTCATAAGCGTATTTTTTAAACTATATTTATTTCTAACAGACTGAATACTTATCTGAAGGATATACTTACAGTATCTATTTTTTCTTTATTCATGGGCGTTAGTAAACCACCAATAAACGACCCTATTCCATGCCCAGCAATAATCCACATTATACTTATTACTTTCATTCCATCAAATATTTGGACGTGATCTTTTGAGTAAACGGTCGTCTTCAGGAGTTTTCTTCCATTAGTGAAAACGGAAAAGGCCAAGAGTAACGTGTTGGAACATTCTGAAATGCAGTCAAATTTGTATCGTGAAATTTTCATCTAACATGGTAATGTTAACACTGAAATATGATTCATTTATTTGTTAAGTGTATTTTTCATGAAAATGCAACAGCCACCTCTTCAAATCATAGAATATGTTCTATTTTTTCAATCTACTTTTTGTTAACTGTCAATATTCCTCTTTGAAACGAATTTTTTCCGATTTTTCCGGAAAAAATCAATATCTCTAATTTTCGTTCTTATAGTTCAACCCCATATTTACTTATAAAGCCAACCCAGGTCATGTCTGAAGATGCAAAGTGAAGATGCAATGGGAAAAATAAAGAAGCATCATGCAAAATAGTAAATTGATAAAGTATTCCGAAATGTGGGGGAAGAGTTCAAAAACAGATTTTATTACAGTTTATGGTAATATTGAGCTATTCAAGAAAAAATCAAACGATTTTATTTCTATTCCAACAGTTGAAACGTATCACTCAATCCTCTCACCATTTTTACGAATTTTTGTTCAACTAATATCCTGGAAATCATCACTCTCATCACACCATCCAGGAAACTAAATAGGATCACTCACAATGAAATTTGAAGACTTGAAATGATGTGCCTCTAATCTGACAAACATTTTTTCTTCTACTGTAGGGAGTTGAAGAGCGAAGGTTAAAAATCTTCGTTCAAACTGACCTTGAAAATAAAACTGCTCTCTCAGATATTAGTTACAGGACAATATTGAGCTTCTAAACCAATATCCTGTATATAGTTAAGAGTTAATAGTTCAATCAATTCTAATGCCTGCCTATTTGGAGTCGACAAAGAGTTATATTTTCAATTATTGAACTTACCAATTTCATTTTTATATAGGTAAACATCATACGTTGTACTCAGTATCATGACCAATAGTAGCAGAGCGAAAATAATACTGAAACAAAGGAAGCTTGAATAAAGTGCTATTAATAAATATATGTTGCAGTATTCTTCAAAAAACATTTTTTGTGAAAGAATCAATAGTTTTTGCAGTTTTTTGAGGGTATCTACCCTCCACAATCTGTTATGAATATGTTTGAAAAGAGTAGATCCAGGTGTGTTGAGCTCTATATTGCCGCATACTTCTGACATACATCAGGTGAAATGAAGCGACTAAATCTATTCAGCATTTCGCATGAAAGTATCATTAGAATAGAGACATTTTTCCAACCTACCATATTCTAGGTTATCTAGGTTGCTGTGATATTTGGGTTATCGAACAAGAGGATGGATTTTTAACAGAAGCTAGCAGCCATAGGTTGCGCTCAGAACTAAACATGTGAGCAATATTCCTCAGAAGGTCTAGGTTGAGCTCTAGGTTGCTCACTTTTGAGTTATAAAAAGTATTTTTCCATGTATCTGAGTTCCAATATGACAATACCCAATGAATTGATCGCTACAGCTAACATGCTCCAACATTATGTTATTTGGTTCTGTCACATTCATGCCGAGTACCTATAGGAGAGGGACAAATCTCCAACCTTTCTTCGATGTTCCAGACTATCAAGGTTGCACGTGATGTTCGCGTCTCCAATCCGGCGGAGGGCTCTTTTCTGGATGGAATCCAGCAGCTTTAGGGTATGCTTAGGGGCGGAGCTCCATATATGAAAACAATACTCCAACGAAGGTCTGTTCGGAGCTTTATGAAGCATCAAAAGTTGCTGAGGTTTGTAAGGTTTTCTGGTTCGCAACAGTGTTCCAAGCTTTTGTGAAGTAGCCTTTGCAGTTGTAGCGACATGATTGTGCCAAGACATATTGGTGTCCATTTTAACCCCCAACAAGCTCATTGGAGCAGAAAGCGGACATTTATCTTTTTCGAAAAACCGATGCCTGGATTTTCATGGCATTGAATCGAACCTGGTTACTTTCATCCCAATTCGAAATCGCCTTTGAATCCTCATTAAGATATATATCCTCCTACTGCCGGTGAAGATATTCATCCGCACATCCGAATGGAATGACGAGACAAGTGTGCTGTCGTCAGCAAAGCAATATATTGGATTCTTGGTTTTTCCAATGAGTCGTTGATATACGATAAAAAGAGTGTTGGAGACAATATTGATCCCTGGGGAACACCACCATTGATGGTAAAAGTATTCGATAGCAAAGTGGCTGATGTATAGTTATTTGAAAGATTTTTCTTGCTCTATTTGGGAATATGCTGAATGCGAGCAATATTGCAACAAAGAGGAAAAACCTCTCTCTTGCAAGACATGTTAAAAAGTCTGCAAAATAGTGGTGCGATTTCATTGATGTACTTTTTAAGTAAGATGACGGGCACTTCATCAGGAAAGGACGCCTTGTTGATAATAGGCTGTTTCCAAATTCGCCTAACTACATGCTATCGAAAAGTAATTTCCGCAATTGTGGATTCTAGTGTGGAAATAGTGAGTGGTGTCTTTCCCAGAAAATCGACTGTGGAGTGGGACGCAAATTGTTCAGCTAGTAGATATGCTTTTTCTATGTCGTTGTTGCAATTGAACCATCCGCTTGTACCTATTAGTGTTGGGATTGTGGATTTTGTAAAGTTCGGATTGACAGTTTTAGCTACCGACCAGAAAAATCTGGACCCGTTGGGATTGGCAAGCAGTTTATTCCTAAGTCTCTGATTCGTGAAGTTCTTTGCTTCCATTAATTTCAAATTTGCAGCATTGACAAACCTAGTTTAGTTTTCGGTTCTGGGATTTTTGCGCCACTGCCGGTAGACGAGATTTTTGAAGGCGACTGCTTGCTCTCAATATTTGTTGAACCAAAGTTTGCCGTTAAAAGTTTATTTCATTGAAAAAAGAATAGTAAACCCTATTGCCAGATACTAACGAAAACTCTAGAAACATAAAGCAAAATAGCCCGAGACTTTCCGTGTTGCTCCATTGCATTGTTCCAAAAGTGGGAGAAATTCTTCACCTCCAGAAACCATATTGATGACCGGTTGAGAAGTTGAAGTATTGAAATTATTCAATAATCATTGATTGACTGCTTTTTCGTATAACAAGTTGAAGAGCCTAAAGAACATTGGTGTAAATTATTTGACACAATTTGATCAATTGTTCTGACACACAAGGATTGGTATTGTTACATTGATGTATAGGCACTAAATCAGAGAGAGAATCAGTACTGTTGGAGAAGTAGTATTCAAATATTATTCAGTATGTGGTGATTTTGTAAAGACAAAGTGATTCATCGAATTTATTCATTCAACCATACTTTGACATAAATAGAGCCCGATCTAATCTGACAATTGTCATAGAAAAATTCTAGAAAGTGCACCGATAAAAATTGAAGTTGAAGGTGAAAAATTGATGTTTTATCATCATATAGAATCTCAGGTATAGCAAATAACGGTCCATCGAACAAACTAGAGGTGTTCCTAAAATAAGTCTCATATGTTTTATCGAATAAAACAGAATCTGTTGATTTGAAAAGTACATAACATAGGTATATCAGAAAGAAATAAGATATTGAATGCTCTCGAACATTGTAATGATATTTCTACTTTTCATTTTTGTAACGTATTTATACTTTTAATTACACCAAGTTCAGCCTTTAGACATTAGTTGTAAATTGGCCTACGGTTGATCAAACATTATACAAGTTGTTCAACACAAAGTTGGCCTTTCAAGAAAAAGGTATCATCATTTCATTGCGACAACATACATTGATGTATTTCATACATTGACTAATGCCACCTTGTCCATTGGATAATGTTTGCAAATGTATATTTCACACTGACACTTTAAAAGAAATCTTACATCATGATTATATTTCCAGTGTTGAATTCTTGGCCTGTCTCAATGGTTGTACAGAAGTTATCGATGAATAGTAGAGGAACATTTGGATACATAACTTTTCCAATTTCCACCAGGTCCTTAGCCGAACAACCATCTGGAGTACAAGTGGCTAACTGATGACCTAGCTAAAAAATAATTATTTTCGATCATAGTCAAACATAAATGTCCTCAGTTTACTGGATGAAAACGTTCCGACTCCAAATTAACTAGAACCGACAATCGACTACTATATTTGAAGAATACCTGCATCAAAAAAATATACGTTCAAAATTTGAGAGATTGGTTAGTTTAGGTCCCGGCGCATGTAAATAAAAATATTTGATAGCACAATCAAAACATAACCTAACCTAACCCAACTCCTAACATAACCTTTAGTCATTAGTACTGATATTGAAATTAATATTATGTTGAGAATATTTGAACCTATATGAACCTAACCTAACCTAACCTTTGTAAGCGCGCCAGGATCTAAACTAGGCAATTCTCAAAATTTATTGTCCTTCCGTATGAAACAAGATACACTAATGGATTAGATTCAAAGGGTTGAACGTGAAAGTAGTTTTCAAAACTTCTTGAACACTTCAACAAATGTTAGCTAATTCTAAAGACAAGATGTTGGAATATGAAAAGTCGGAAATGACAATCAGAATAAGAGAGTTATTAAACTCGTTTTAAAAAACATGCAGTACATATCCGATTTCGAACACCAGAAAAATCTAGTGTCATCTTGGAAAACGACCAATAAGTGAAAACTGTCTGAAATGGATAAGATTAATACATTACACTAGATTTTTAGATGCTTCCGAAAGTCTGGGAATAGCAAAGAGAACTATGACCAATGACAAAGATACCATTCCAAACAGCCCATTGTTCACCTTCTCATGAACCTCTCTGTTGAAATTAGCAGGAAATTACACGAGAAATTTCCCACAAATTTCAACCCATAAACATTGATGTGTATTTGAAAGTGAAAGGATACCATGTTAGATATAAATAGAGACCGACTTCATAGCAAGGAATTATTTTTCCTCATCCCCTGAAGACGTTAACTTGGTTGGCGAAACGCGCGACTAGAAGAGTATTACAGTTCTGGTGATTGGGATTTGTATAAGTATGTCACAAGCAGGGTCATAGCGAGAAGAAAAACCAGGGGGTTATAAAAATAATAATGGGAATTATTCTACTTTGGACCAAGGTCCTTGGTCTTTCACCATATCCACCATGTATAGGAATATTCAATACAAATGAAAGAAAACAACACTTGAATAATATTCTACGTATTGTTTTCTACTATTATTTTTTTTATCTTCACGGCCCGAAATTTCCCAACTTTTCCATGTCGAAAAAACAGCGAAAAGTTGGGAAATTTGTTAAATTGTCACTTCAAAATTTGTGGACTGTGCACGACTGTTTGAAGTTTTCAAACAACTCAGAATTTCCAAGTATAGGATCTCCAAAATATGCATGTTGAGAAATCCCAACCTTCTCCTGGTTCGTTCCCTTTTCTTATTACTTCTCCCTTTCTTTTCTCTGATTTTTATTTTTTAAATCTTTTTTTTCTATCTTCACGGCCCAAAATTTACCAACTATTTCCCAAGTCGAAAAAGCAGGGGGCGAGGCTCCCCCGCATCCCCCCATGGCGACGGGCCTGGTCACAAGTGTATAGAAAACTCTCAACCATTTTCACCATCACATTTTCACCGTCACTAGCGTGACGACAAATTTTAATAGATGGTCACTAGCGTGACGACAAATTTTAATTATCCCATTATCCCAATAATACTTGTTTGTAACCTGGTATTCACAGTATATCATTGCGTAATATGGATTCATTAATGCATGCCTATTTAGAGCGACTTCTGTCCTCATATTGTAAATGTGTTGAGGAAAGTTTTTTAACCTCTTCCTACCGAGACGTTCATTTGAAATCTGATGATCTGCCAACATGTGCCTCTGAAGCAAGTGAGATTATTTCTATCGGGCATAGCTGCAACAAATCGTATTTCAACAAAAGTTGCAAGTTGGTCGGTCGGTGGCCAGGTGGTTCGACGCGGGTGCTTTGTTCACTCACTCGAATTGACTGCCGTGTTGGTCGGTGGTTCAAGCCCTAGTCTGAACGATCGATTTTCACTTGCTATCGTCCAACCCGTGTTAGAAATCTCACGTTCAAAGGTAAGACTTCGTCAATCCTTAGCTCGCACAAATTTCGACTTCTGAAGTTTGTTGTTTGTAGGGGTGCGACGGCTGATTAACGGAAAAACAGATTTTAAACAGACAGAAACAGTTGAAGCTATTGCAGTCAAAGATCGTGTCAATGGAATTGTCCAAAGAGTAGATAAAGGAACTTCAAATTGGAAGATGAATTTTGGAACCTGATAAAGAAGGATCGAAGAAAAAACACGCAATGGAAAAGAAATAAGTGATCGGAAAAAATTATTGAATGAAAAAGGATGGCATTACAGAGGGGCACAAAAGTGGAAAGCATAGATGGTTTTGAAGGATGTAAGCCAGTTTATCTAAACCTATTTAGATCGTTCATTTCCTCAAGTCATTTATATTCTCATTAAAGGGACTGAAATGTCTAAAGGTAAGACCTCGTTAATCCTTAGCTCGCACAAGTTTCGACTTCTGAGGGTTGTCGTTCGTAGGGGTGCGACAGCTGGTTAACGGAAAAACAGATTTTAAACAGAAACAGATATTCATCAATTTCAATTTTGTCCCCCAATCGTCGAAGCAGTTCTGATATCTTCTTTTTGGTATGTCCTTGAGCTCTCCCAGCGATTTTGTTTTTATGTCCTCAACCTTCGCAAAACACTGTTCTTTCATAGGTCTCTTCAACCTTAGAAACAAAAAAAGTCGCAGGGTGTCAAATCTGGCGAATACGGTGGTTGAGGCATGATTACGGTGTTGTTTTTGGCCAAAATATTACGAACAAGTAATGACGAGTGAGCAGGTTCATTATCGTGATGCAAAAGCCATGAATTGTTTTTCCACAATACCGGAAGTTTCCTTCATATTGCTTCTCGCAAGTGGTGCATAACTTCAAGATAATACTCCTTTTTGACAGTACGTACACAGTCGAATAATACAACCAGTAGGCTCTCTTACCACGCGATCCGCCCGAGTTGCCAGGGACCTTAAACCGCTCTTAGGATGAGATTCTCATCCAACGCGTTCAGTGCTGTAGTATCGAAGGATTCCACGGTACCACAGGCATCGGATTAGTTATAATAAACGGTCGGAAATTGATATTGTGTTTAGTTTATTCGCTATTGTTATTATTTCTTTTAGTTTTTGTAGTTGGTTATAAGTAACTCTTCACAAAATCTTCTAGAATATCCTTGAATTTCGTTTTTATATGAGCGCATACCTATGCTTAAATAACGAAATTGGCTCCGCCTTCGTTTCGAGGTCACCGAGAACTTTGTGAATGTATGAATGAAAGTAGTGGTAGTGGACTTACTGGTTGATTTTTACTATGGTACGTCCATGTGGCAATAACTATCGATGCACTACGCTACGGAAATCGAAAAAAAAAACAGTGAGTTTCCAAAAATTTTGGTACATTAATATTTCTAAAAGATTATTGAGAAGTTGTATCAATCCTATAATTGTTGATATCAATTCAATAAGTTATACCAATTCTATTACATTCCTAGAATTATATATTGATGGAAAATTATCGTGGACGAAACATACTGAAATTATTCGAAATAAGTTGCACTTCTCATTGGTATTCTATTGAAAATCAGGAATTGGAACTTTTGAAAAATATTTATTTCAGTCTTATATAGGTACTCACAACTGCATTATCTCATTTCTATTTGGGGATCCGGCAGGAATCTACAATAAAACATTCGAAATCTGCACAAATCCAAAATATATGTTATGTTTAAAATATGGTTTTCCCTTAACCAGCTATCGCACCTCTACGAACGACAACCTTTAGAAGTCGAAACTTGTGCGAGCTAAGGACTAACGAGGTCTTACCTTTCAACGTGTGATTCCTAACACGGGTTGGACGATAACGCGCGAAAATCGAACGTTCTGCCTGCGGCTTGAACCATCGACTCACACATTGGTCGATTGACTGAGCATCCACGTCGAACCGTCCGGCTACCGACCCCCCATTAAATGCAATCAAATGCATATATAAATTATTGTACTCAGAGCCTACAGTAAACTACAAAATTATTTTCAATCGAAATTCTTGACATGTAGGATGCTTTGAGGAGGAGGTGACTCACAAAGGGTTGTTTTTTAAATGAAAATATGTCCCCCTGAAAACTGAAGTTAATGAGTTTTACAATTTCTCAATCTCAATATCGAATGACTTACTCAGGGTGGTTCATTTCAACTGGAATTAACTGTATGAATCTAAAAACAACGAGTAGTTACCATTCCTAGATGTCTTGGGGATTAGAAGTAACCGAGGTCTAGAATTTGATGTCTATAGGAAGAATGTCAGTACAGATATATTACTGATTCAAAGGTAATAACTTTCATGTGAAACAAGATGCACTATAATGGGTTCGATCGAATTTTTTTAAAGGCATTCAAAACTGTTCAGTTCAACACGCCTTGGAAAATTACTATAGAATAAATGAACACTATTTAACATTACTGAGAACAATATGTCACCAGACTTTTGGAGTCTTTTGAGAGAGTGGACATAGTGAAGTGTGGCATGAGAATAATGAACAGTGACAACAGTCCTATTCCAAACATCCCATTTTTTACCTCCATGTGAACCACTCTATTAAGAATTAGCGAGAACTTTCACGAGAAAATTTTCTGCCAATATTTATCCAAGAAATCATTGTGTTTAAAAATTGAAAGTATACATTGATAGATATAAATAGGCAATGTTTAGAGTTAGGATCCAGTCTTTACTTTTCTGAAGATGCCCGCTTGGTGGGTGAAACGCGAGCCGCGAGGATTGTTGCAGTTCTGGTGAAAGCAGTCCATTTTTTTATGTATTCTACGCCAAAGGTTCTATCTTTAACAAGAGAAATGATACCAATATATAATCTTTAATGTTGTTGGGTTAGATAACTATAGATTGATCGATGTAACCCTCAGCTACTGTTGTAGACTTCCATCCTCCAAGCTTCTTAATATCCGTTATATTTGCTCCTGATTTTGCTAGT